ACCTACCTGTGTTGTGGTGGTGTAAGGTAGAGTACACCACTACACCTACCTGTGTTGTGGTGTAATGTGGAGTACACCACTACACCTACCTGTGTTGTGGTGGTGTAACGAGGAGTACACCACTACACCTACCTGTGTTGTGGTGGTGTAAGGTGGAATACACCACTACACCTACTTGTGAAAGGTGGAGTCCACCACTACACCTATCTGTGTTGTGGTGGTGTAAGGTGGAGTACACCACTACACCCACCTGTGTAAGGTGGAGTGCACCACTACACCTATCTGTGTTGTGGTGGTGTAAGGTGGAGTACACCACTACACCTACCTGTGTTGTGGTGGTGTAAGGTGGAGTACACCACTACACCCACCTGTGTAAGGTGGAGTGCACCACTACACCTATCTGTGTTGTGGTGGTGTAAGGTGGAGTACACCACTACACCTGCCTGTGTTGTGGTGGTGTAAGGTGGAATACACCACTGCACCTACCTGTGTTGTGGTGGTGTAAAGAGGATTTACACCACTACACCTACCTGTGTAAGGTGGAGTACACCACTACACCTATCTGTGTTGTGGTGGTGTAAAGTGGAGTACACCACTACACCTCACTGTGTTGTGGTGGTGTAAGGTGGAGTACACCACTACACCTACCTGTGTTGTGGTGGTGTAAAGTGGAGTACACCACTGCACCTACCTGTGTTGTGGTGACGTAACGTGGAGGACACCACTACACCTGCCTGTGTTGTGGTGGTGTAAGGTAGAGGACACCACTACACCTACCTGTTTTGTGGTGGTGTAAAGTGGAGTACACCACTGCACCTACCTGTGTTGTGGTGACGTAACGTGGAGGACACCACTACACCTGCCTGTGTTGTGGTGGTGTAAGGTAGAGGACACCACTACACCTACCTGTTTTGTGGTGGTGTAAGGTGCAATACACCACTACACCTACCTGTGTTGTGGTGGTATAAGGTGGAGTACACCACTACACCTGCCTGTGCTGTGGTGGTGTAAGGTGGAGTACACCACTACACCTACCTGTTTTGTGGTGGTGTAAGGTGGAGTACACCACTACACCTACCTGTTTTGTGGTGGTGTAAGGTGCAGTACACCACTGCACCTACTTGTGTTGTGGTGGAGTAAGGTGCAGTACACCACCACACCAACCTGTGTTGTGGTGGTGTAAGGTGGTGTACACCACTACACCTACATGTGTTGTGGTGGTGTAAGGTAGAGGACACCACTACACCTACCTGTGTAAGGTGGAGAACACCACTACACCTACCTGTGTTGTGGTGGTGTGTAGCACACCACCACACCCACCTGTAGGTGGTAGGTGGGCACACCACCACTACACCTACCTGTGTTGTGGTGGTGTAGGTAGGAGGACACCACTACACCTATCTGTGTTGTGGTGTGTAATGTGGGTACACCACTACACCTACCTGTGTTGTGGTGGTGTAATGTGGAGTACACCACTACACCTACCTGTGTTGTGGTGGTGTAAGGTGGAGGACAACACTATATCTACCTGTGTTGTGGTGATGTAAGGTGGAGTGCACCACTTCACCTACCTGTGTTGTGGTCGTGTAACTTGGAATACACCACTACACCTACCTGCGTTGTGGTGGTGTAAGGTGGAGTACACCACTATACCTACCTGTGTTGTGGTGGTGTAAGGTGGAGTGCACCACTTCACCTACCTGTGTTGTGGTCGTGTAAGGTGGAATACACCACTACACCTACCTGCGTTGTGGTGGTGTAAGGTGGAGTACACCACTACACCCACATGTGTTGTGGTGGTGGTGTAGTACACCACCACACCTACCTGTGTTGTGGTGGTTTAAGGAGTAAAACCACTACACTTCACTGTGTGGTGGTGAAAGGTGGAGTACACTACTACACCTACCTGTGTTGTGGTGGTGTAAGGTGGGTATACCACTACACCTAGCTGTGTTGTGGTGGTGTAAGGTGGAGGACACCACTGCACCTATCTGTGTTGTGGTGGAGTAAGGTGCAGTACACCACTACACCTACCTGTGTTGTGGTGGTGTAAGGTGGTGTACACCACTACACCTACCTGTGTAAGGTGGAGAACACCACTACACCTACCTGTGTTGTGGTGGTGCAAGGTGCAGTACACCACTACACCTACCTGCGTTGTGGTGGTATAAGGTGGAGTACACCACTACACTACACCTACCTGTGTTGTGGTGGAGTAAGGTGGAGGACACCACTTCACCTACCTGTGTTGTGGTCGTGTAAGGTGGAATACACCACTACACCTACCTGCGTTGTGGTGGTGTAAGGTAGAGTACACCACTACGCCTACCTGTGTAAGGTGGAGTACACCACTACACCTATCTGTGTTGTGGTGGTGTAAGGTGGAGTACACCACTACACCTACCTGTGTTGTGGTGGTGTAAAGTGGAGTACACCACTACACCTACCTGTGTAAGGTGGAGTACACCACTACACCTATCTGTGTTGTGGTGGTGTAAGGTGGAGTACACCACTACACCTGCCTGTGTTGTAGTGGTGTAAGGTGGAGTACACCACTACACCTACCTGTGTTGTGGTGGTGTAAGTTGGAGTACACCACTACACCTACATGTGTTGTGGTGGTGTAAGGTGGAGTACACCACTACACCTACCTGTATTGTGGTGGTGTAAGGTGGAGTACACCACTACACCTACCTGTGTTGTGGTGGTGTAAGGTAGAGTATACCACTACACCTTCCTGTGTATGGTGGAGTACACCACTACACCTACCTGTGTTGTGGTGGTGTAAGGTGGAATACACCAGTACACCTACCTGTGTTGTGGTGGTGTAAGGTAGAGTATACCACTACACCTACCTGTGTATGGTGGAGTACAGTACTACACCTATCTGTGTTGTGGTGATGTAATGTGGAGGACACCACTACACCTGCCTGTGTTGTGGTTGTGTAAGGTAGAGTACACCACTACACCTACCTGTGTTGTGGTGGTGTAAGGTGGAGTAAAGCACTACACCTGCCTGTGTTGTGGTGGTGTGAGGTGGAGTGCACCACTACACCTGCCTGTGTTGTGGTGGTGTAAGGTGGAGTACACCACTACACCTACCTGTGTTGTGGTGGTGTAAAGTGGAGTACACCACCACACCTACCTGTGTTGTGGTGATGTAATGTGGAGGACACCACTACACCTGCCTGTGTTGTGGAAGTGTAATGTAGAGTACACCACTACACCTACCTGTGTTGTGGTCGTGTAAGGTGGAGTAAACCACTACACCTACCTGTGTTGTGGTGGTGTGAGGTGGAGTACACCACTACACCTACCTGTGTTGTGGTGGTGTGAGGTGGAGTACACCACTACACCTACCTGTGTTGTGGTGGTGTAAGGTAGAGGACACCACTACACCTACCTGTGTTGTGGTGGTATAATGTGGAGTACACCCCTACACCTACCTGTGTTGTGGTGGTGTAAGGTGGAGGACACCACTACACCTACCTGTGTTGTGGTGGTGTGAGGTGGAGTACACCACTACACCTACCTGTGTTGTGGTGGTGTATGGTAGAGGACACCACTACACCTACCTGTGTTGTGGTGGTGTATGGTGGAGTACACCACTACACCTACCTGTGTTGTGGTGGTGTAAGGTGGAGGACACCACTACACCTACCTGTGTTGTGGTGGTGTAAGGTGGAGTACTCCACTACACCTACCTGTGTTGTGGTGGTGTAAGGTGGAGGACACCACTACACCTACCTGTGTTGTGGTGGTGTATGGTGGAGTACACCACTACACCTACCTGTGTTGTGGTTGTATAAGGTGAAGGACACCACTAAACCTGCCTGTGTTGTTGTGGTGTAAGGTGGACTCCACCACTACACCTACCTGTGTTGTGGTTGTATAAGGTGAGGACACCACTAAACCTGCCTGTGTTGTTGTGGTGTAAGGTGGATCCACCACTACACCTACCTGTGTTGTGGTGGTGTAAGGTGGAGGACACCACTAAACCTGCCTGTGTTGTTGTGGTGTAAGGTGGAGTGCACCACTACACCTACCTGTGTTGTGGTGGTGTAAGGTGGAGGACACCACTACACCTACCTGTGTTGTGGTGGTGTAAGGTGCAGTACACCACTACACCTACCTGTGTCTTGGTGGTGTAAGGTGGAGGACACCACTACACCTACCTGTGTTGTGGTGGTGTAAGGTGGAATCCACCACTACACCTACCTGTGTCTTGGTGGTGTAAGGTGGAGGACACCACTACACCTACCTGTGTTGTGGTGGTGTAAGGTGGAATCCACCACTACACCTACCTGTGTCTTGGTGGTGTAAGGTAGAGTGCACCACTAAACCTACCTGTGTTGTGGTGGTGTAAGGTGGAATACACCACTACACCTACCTGTGTCTTGGTGGTGTAAGGTGGAGGACACCACTAAACCTGCCTGTGTTGTTGTGGTGTAAGGTGGAATCCACCACTACACCTACCTGTGTTGTGGTTGTATAAGGTGAAGGACACCACTAAACCTGCCTGTGTTGTGGTGTAAGGTGGAGGACACCACTACACCTATCTGTGTTGTGGTGGTGTAAGGTGGAGTACACCACTACACCTACTTGTGTTGCGGTGGTGTAAGGTAGAGGACACCACTACACCTACCTGTGTTTTGGTGGTTTAAGGTGGAGTACACCACTACACCTACCTGTGTTGTGGTGGTGTAAGGTGGAATCCACCACTACACCTACCTGTGTCTTGGTGGTGTAAGGTAGAGTGCACCACTACACCTGCCTGTGATGTGGTGGTGTAAGGTGCAGTACACCACTACACTTACCTGTGTTGTGGTGGTGTAAGGTGGAGTACACCACTACACCTGCCTGTGTTGTGGTGGTATAAGGTGGAGTACACCACTACACCTACCTCTGTTGTGGTGGTGTAAGGTAGAGTACACCACGACACCTGCCTGTGTTGGTGTAAGGTAGAGTACACCTACCTGTGTTGTGGTGGTGTAAGGTAGTGTACACCACTACACCTACCTCTGTTGTGGTGGTGTAAGGTAGAGTACACCACGACACCTGCCTGTGTTGGTGTAAGGTAGAGTACACCTACCTGTTTTGTGGTGGTGTAAGGTGGAGGGAAGGATGTCAGGCTGCTTCTCCTTCACATCACCACTTCCTTCGCCTTCTGCAAGAGAGGAAAGACAAGGTTATGATCACACACACACACACACACACACACACACACACACACACGCACGCGGGCCCGTCCGCACGAACCATCCACTGTGCTTAGAAATGAATAAAGGTTTTTTGATAAATGTTCAATAAATATATTTTTTCTACCCAGTGATCCACCTACTGCTTTAGAAAGATAGTTTGCCGAATTACTGAAATGATTATTTTCATTAAAATCTTACTGAGTCAAATGTACAGCTATTGTACCCGATGACGGGTTTATGATGTGACACGTACTCGTATTCTGTGACTGATCTGACTGCTGCTTCTGGTGGTGAAATAGTAAAGTGATAATCGTACACCGATTATTATCATGTTCACTATACACACCAGTACAGTATACACCTAATGAACACCAGTGGTCTCTTTGTGTATATTCACACTTCTGTCTACTACTTCGTGGGAGAGGCGAAAGGGAGAGTGTTGCATCATCACGCGGGCGAGAGGACTCGAGCTATCAACTACAGTCTGTGTCCCTCCTCCTTCCCTTCCCAAAACTACCCCTGTACCCTACCCGTCACACACAGATTGTAAGTGACTGCCATAACACCTCTGGTGTTAAAGATCATTTATAACTGTGTTAATGCTTCATAAGCGATCAGAATAGTGTGTGTAATGGAAGGCCTCATCGAGTAATTTGTCAATGTTTGGGGCTGATCGGATGGCTGGTCATATTTCGAGGCTCTGGTTAGGTATGGCAAGTGATTGGATATCTAGTCAAGTTTGGAGGCTCTGGTGGGTCAGCTGGTCAAGTTTGGAGGCTCTGCTGGGACATGAACGCTTGAGAGTCTTACCAAAGGAGAGGGTGTCGTTGAGAGCTTGGCAGCCCGGCAGGTCAGGCATCAGCTCACACAGAGACGATGCCAGCTGGTCCAGCCCTTCCTGCCTCTCACTCACCGCCTAGGGATCACATGTACAGTATTATTTACACCGTAGGAAACACATATTGGTTGTTTACGCCTGAGTTAATATATACACATATATTTACATCGGTAGAACTCATAAGCTTATTATTTACATTTCAGGAAATACAGTTGCTATTATCTCCTGAGGCGACACAAGTGCTCTTTGTGCTGTGGTGTGCAAGTGTTGTGTCAGGTGGGTCGGTAGTCTGCAGCTTACGACTATGACATTATATTAGTAACTTTTTAAGGTTTGGCGGCGCGTTTAATTAGGCACATGCGGTGATGGTTCGGAAATTGACCTGAGACAACACACTCGGTATACTTGCTGGTGTGAGGTGCTGTGGTATAATCTTATTAGACACGTGTAGAACCATAAATTGTTCAGTGTTCAAGCTTCTGACATTCGGTTCGAAAATCGCGTTATGAACATGACTGTCACTTGTACGGTGCCGTGACAGTTCCGCTTGCCTGTCTGTTGGGCCCAGCAGTTGTCCGCTTCTGATCATCTCAATAGTTTAAACACAATAACCTGTTCAACACACAAAGTCGAAGGTTCTCTAGTTAACAAGTTGTGAGCAACGAGGGCTAGAACCCCTCCATAAAGCTTTCCCAGTTTAAACTTACATTTCACCATTCTAGAAAAGACGATGAGAATATCGTATATTTAGTCACTTTACAACTGCGAAACAAAATAATATTGACTGTAACATACAAAATGTTGTGGTGACCGAGATACCAAGTTGTGTCTTAATGTAAACTGGCAGTATGGTTTCCTATACAGCGCCTTCAGCACAGACAAACAACATGCAGTTTTATTATTGACGAGAAGGAAAATTCTGATTGTAGTTGACACTGAACATTTGCTGTTAGAAATGTTCTAACGTAGTCATTATCGCATGTTATGTTAATCATATTTTCTGTCATAAGATAAGATAAAGGTTTTATCTTCTCGAGAGTAAAAGAATCAGTTTTACGCGTCAACATTTTTTTTTCCCTCAGGCTCCTTGGGTCTTATGTTAGTCGACACACAACATACACCTGTCATTTATGTCTTTGATAAAGATCATCGCCCATCTTTCACTGTCTCCAGTATAGCCACCTGACGTTCATCAGTGTAAATGGCTCACCGCTGTATATCTGAGCCATATATCAGAGTGACTGAAGCACCACGGAACTACAACGGAAACGAAGACGAAAATCTATCGGAATCCCCAAGAGTCACATAATGAAAGTAATGCAGTTTAGGCAGATTAGATAGTTTTAAAATAATAATTAGTTAGTTACTTATTGCTCTAGATTTGTGAGGAATTTTTTTTACTAATTTGTAAAGAAACATATATTAGTTTTTGGAATTTTATATGAAAAGGCATTGTTTTAGACCTATACAGGATATATAGAAGCTTTATAATTTGTAAGCTTTGGTAATAGGGATTTTAGTTAAACGATTTTTTGTCTGAAAGGTACTAACCATACTAAGCTCTCCCACCCCCTTTCATTGCATACAGAGGGGGATGACAATTCTAATTCAGGGCATTAGGAACCCTGAGTACAGAGACAGGTTGAAGCATCCGAATTTCACTCCCTCGAGAGACGAAGAGTGAGTGGAGATACGATTGACGTGTATAAATGGAAGTTAGGGTTAAGCAAAGGTGATATAACAAATATAATTAAAAGTACTCGTATTAGCGGTTTTAAATTGGACAAATTTAGATTTAGGCGCTAGATAGGTAAACATTGGTTTGGGAATGGAGTAGTGGAACACGTTACCAAATATCATCAGTACCTCGAACACGCTGGGAAGCTCCAAATATAGGTTGGACGGATTATGAGCGATAGGGGTTGGGTGTACTGTAAACGGAACAGCCCAGTATGTGCCAATAGGCCCGCTGCAGTGTCCTCCATTCTTATGTTCTTACTAGTAGCGAAAGCAGCGTATGGGCAGCGTAAAAGTTACCACGTGTAACCTCAGATCACCGTGATAATACTGTCACGGGGAATTAGAGGGACACAAAAAATATAAACTACCAGGATTATTTTTTCCTGCGTTGGTTATTTACTTAAGCATCAGTTACACAACAATCACGGGTGTATTCCTTGATCGAGGAAGCGGGATCCTAGTGCTGTCACTAGGTACCCTCAGTGTCATAACCTATGTCATAACCTTAAAATAGTATTATTAGACACTGCCACATGGGAAACCATAAGACCGAACCGTGATACGTGGAGTAGTGCCGCACAAGATGCTGTAAAACCTTCGAGGTTGATTGACTTAATACAGGCAACATCTGTGGCGTCCTTGCCTATCCAGTAATGCCTCTCGAGCCACTAACGAAGGTGATACTCATCAATTGGTCCCCCTAGTGTGTGTGTGTGTGTGTGTACGTACTTACGTCACTTTCATATTCCGGCAACACAACAGCAGCAAGAGCGACGGTCGTCCACACACCCACTACTGCCGCCCACGCGCTCACTCTCAGAAACATCCTGTATGTCAAGTTCTCTGTTGGGGGATGAAATTATATTTTAACAGTAAACATGACTCAGGTTGTTACTTCGAAAGTCAAAATAACTGGAGAAAAAATTGAAACTAGAAAGTTGTATCTGTAGAACACAGATGCACATATCTGCACATTGACCTCAGATTAGCAAACTGAATTGAGTTAAACGCTAAGTTTTGTAAAAAAAAATAATTATGGTTTAAATGTACTGAAATATATGATACAATAATCTACATGTGTTGTGAAGATGTAGTGCTTTCCAAGAACCACCTGCTTGCCAAGTATCATAACTTGTTTATTGTGTTTAGAAAAGTTAGCTCATCAGATGACGTAAAAAAGATCCCCCGAATGCCAGGTTGTTAACGGAGACAAGTGCGTTATTGTTCGTTATATCCCTACGAGCAAGAAATGGTCAGTAGGCACCTCGGCCAGGATGTTATAAGTAAACACTGAGACACAACCCTAATAACCCCACCATGACACTGACTTGGAACTGATGGACGGGGTCGAAACTGAGGCGCAGCTGAAGCAGGATGCTGGAGCGGTAGGTGGGAGCAGACTGGTACTGAGGTGGCGTGGGCCGCACGTTATATAGACCAGCATCCTCTGATTCTTGCCAGGGTCTCGTGGAGTAACGAGGGAATCCCGAGGCAGACTAGGACTTCCCGCTTGTTTACGTGTCGTGTGTCACACTAGGCGGGGATTCACACATAGTGATCCATGCTTCATTGTTTGTTCCCTTAGGCTACCCATTCAACGTGTTCACTAATGTTGCTAATAGTATATATTCACTTTGGGCAGATATTAATAACTCACTTTGTACGAGTGGCCTCAATACTACACTTGTACGTGAAATGTTCACCTTGCAGTAGAGGTGTGAAGGTGTCCAGCAGGATTAGGGAGGATAACATTCAGTAGCAGTGGGAGGCTTTCCTTAAGTAAGAACACATTGAGGGATTTACTATTGTTATTAATATTGTTGGCAGCTCACCTGGGCCGAGGGATCAGGTAAACTTTAATACGACGTAACGACTGTCGTTCGTTGTAGTTGGTGTGGAAGGTGAAAATATACGGCAGTTGATGAAAGAAATTGGCAAACATGTCATTTAAGGCCCTTAGAGTGATATTAGGAGAGCAAAAAAAAATTTCTTAGGGTCGATTTTGGAGACAATTTTTCAAAATATTTTCTCACCTAAGGAACGTCTCCCACTGCTATCGAATGTTGGTGGTGGTGGTGATGGGGGGTGGTAATGGAGGTTGTTGGTGGTGGTGAGGGAGATGACGGATGGAGGGTGCACCAGTACTGCCTCAGGACGTCCCTGGTCATGTGTCCTCACTTGGTATGTCCGCCCAAAGCAGTGCTTTTGTTCCTTTGAAGTCGTGATATATTCTCTGAATCATAAGACCTTGATGCACAGTTGCAGTCAAAAGTAATTATCCACCCCTCCTACTACCAACCGGCGAGCTCAAGGCCCTTTTACACGCCGGGTCACAAGAGGCTGGTGGAAGTATTGATGGGGGGGGGGGGCAGTTAGGGGTGGCGGACCCGGGTAAGGTAGGTGGGCGAGGGTGAAGGATCACATATGTAGTGAGAGTGTATGCGGTCTTAACCTTACCCTGACGTTGACTGCCTTAATGACCCTGGCAATTGATAGGCCTAAAGTCCGAATAACTAACCAACCAGGATGATGAGTGTCTCGGGAGAAGTCATATGCACCTAACTTTCCCTTGGTTATCTATATGTCTTTACTTGGGATTCTACGGAGGAATGGGAGTGAGCTTTTGGCTGGTAATTTGTCATTCGGGTTAATAAGGCGTCTGCTTCCGTGAAGGAAGTCCCTGATATGACAACGTAAGACAGGAGGGGGCGTGGCTTGCTTACCAATAGTAACACTAAACAAGGCTGTTACTTGATCACTTCAAACTCTCGCCACTACCGTTCTTGAAAAAAATTCACTATTAATTGATACAAGAAATTAAACATGATTTGTTGGGTAGAATATGACTTGTTCAGCTTGTAATATTAGAGTTGTGAGAATCAATGAGAGGTGATAACATAAGAAAATAAGGGGTCTGCAATAGCCGGTTGGCCTGTGCATGGCAGCTCCTGTCGAGAGTTACTACCACTCTCTATCATCCATGAATCTATCTAGCCTCCTTTTGAAACTTTCCAGAGTTCCCGCACTTACTACAAAGTTGCTAAGCTTGTTCCACTCGTCCACCACCCTAATTGTGAACCAGTTTCTTCCTATCTCCCTCCTAAACCTAAACTTATCCAACTTGAATCCGTTGCTCCGAGTCCTATCCTGCTCGGATATTATAAGAACTTTATCTATATCCCTTTATTGATTCCTTTCACCCACTTTAACACTTCTATCATATCTACCCGCACTCTTCGTCTTTCTAGGGAATGCAAGTTAAGTTTCTTTAACCTATCCTGATATGGAAGGTTTCTAAGACCCGGAATCATTTTTAGGATGTTAGTGGCAATAGAGTTTGGCCACTGTTCAACACCCAGCCCAGGATGAACGCTAAAGAACGAGACTGGTCGAGTCGCCGGTAAATTATCCGTTTGCGCGTGGGGTCGCTGTGAGACGTTTGTCAACCCGCTGGGAGGAGTCTGGGAACTTGGAAAACCGACCGCCTTAAGTGTTTTTGAGGATTTGATGGCATTTGATATATTAAAATGATTAAATTCAGTGTGTATTGTAAACAAAACATATTTGAACTCTAAATTCACATAAATGGAGCACCTTAGCTTTCGTCTTTATTCAAGACATCTTCAGAGGCAACTAAATTACATGGACAGAGAGAGACTTAAGTACACAGAGTGACCTTACTAAACATTAGGTCAGGTCATAAACATGACATCCACTAATCCGCACACCAACACCACCACACACGCAAAGGAGCTTAAGAGAAAGGGCGACGTGACTAGTCAAGTAAGTCAGGTCAAAAATATGGGAACCATTAATCATCTATCCTACATTTAACTCCAATGCTTTAAAAGCATTTTTAACTTTGGGCCACTAACAAATAAATTTGTGTAACATTATCAGTTTTGTACTGACCATCACAAAGGTTTATAGAATTCAATTCCCTAATCAAACTAGCTTCAACCAGAAGTCTTTCTGTGACACATGATGATTTGTACACTTCTAAGCTGTTTTCCCAATCCATGGGATGATTATCGTTCCTAACAAGAACGAACAGTGCACTGCTTTCAGATGCTGTTCTGATATTGTACTTGTGCTGTTGAATTCGGAGTTGCAATGCTTTCCCAGTCTGTCCTACATAATTTCCATTACAGTTACTACATGGAATGCAGTAAACAGTTACATTTATATTTACATATATACCTGACCCAGCTTGGAGAAGGACGTGCCCCCAAGTTCTCCCGTAGTGACCAAGGAAAATGGCCGCCTTGGATCGTTGTGTCTTGGGGGAAGAGGAGAGTCGTGTGGGGAAAGACGACCTCTTGGCCACTCTGCTAAGGCAGCTGGGGCAGTTGAGGAGTGAGGTTGACACTCTAAAGGGGGAAAATGAAGCCCTCAGGACTGAACTCCTTCAGGTAGGTGTCCTGCCTAGCAGGACTCCTGCGAAGGAGGAGCAGGCGTGGAGAATGGTTATCTCCAAGGGGACTAGGGTCAGGCTCAGGAAAGCTGACCAGGGTGTGGAATGTAGGAACCCCTACCAGGTGCTGGAGGAAGCTGGCGAGGAAGAGAAGAGGCAGGGAAGTGTGGTGCAGGTAGAGGAAAGGGCAGTTGTACAAACCCTGCCCAGAGGTAAGGTCGTGGTAGTTGGGGACAGCCAGGGGAGGTTTTTAGATAGAACTTTTTGTACAAGAGATAGGTAACGTAGGACTAGGGTGTGTTTTCCTCGGGCTGGGATAGGGCATGTAGCCGAGAGGTTAGACAGGGTTTTGTCAGGGGAGGGTACCAATCCAGTAGTGTGTCTTAGTGTGGGAGGAAACGACATAGGAAAGGTTAGGAGTGAGGAACTTTTCAAGAGATATAGGGAGGCGCTGGGGAAGATTAGAGATAGGGGAGGGATCCCGATAGTATGTGGTGTCTTGCCTAGAAGAGGGGTTGGTCGTGAATGGCTGTCCAGGGCAATTGCTATAATTTGCCGACTGGAAAAACATTGTGCAAACAATGGTTGGGCATTCATTGATAGCTGGCAACGATTCTATGGCAACGAATATCTGTACAGTCGTGACGGAGTACACTTGTCTCGTGCGGGGGTAAAGACGTTGTCTGCATCCCTGGAGCGTGAAATTGTCACTCCAATGGGGGGGGTTTCGCTAGTAGAGAGAGGTAGGGGAAAGTGGGAGTCAAAAAACAAGCAGTTCCTGGGAAGTAAAATTAGTTACTCAGGACAAGGGGTAAAACAGGACCAGGGAAGGGTAGGTTTAAATGTATACTATACAAACAGTAGGAGCGTTAGAAATAAAATAGACTTGCTGGGAGCGGTTGTATGTACCGAGAATGTGGACGTCATAGCAATCACCGAAACTTGGATGAATCTGGCGAGCAAAATTTTTTTATCAGAGTACCACATAGAAGGGTACAACCTTTTTCACAAGGACACAAGGATTCGGTAAAATGCTACTGACACCACATACGAGGCACGGGCAGTTTCCCAATGAGGTTCACGGCGCCATCAGCTCGATGAACAGGCTTTGTGTGAAATATAACAGAGTCTAGAACTGCTTTTAGTGTCCTTGTGGCCTAGCCGGTAAGCGTTCCCTTGTCCCACCCAGTAGGTCGAGGGTTCGATTCCTTGCTGGTGAGGTCGTTTATTATATATATATATATATATATATATATATATATATATATATATATATATATATATGCATGCAGTATATGTATCTAATATATGCTGATAACCACAAGGAAAGAAGAAAACATGAAGTTCCCAAGCGCTTTCGTGTAGTTCGCATCTTCAGGGGTGAGTACAGGCTGAGTACAGCCTGTACTTACCCCTGAAGATGTGAATTACACGAAAGCGCTTGGGAACTTCGTGTTTCTTCTTTCCTTGTGGTTATCAGCATATACCTAGATCACGCGCACTTACAGTGATTTACTTGCATAAATATATATATATATATATATATATATATATATATATATATATATATATATATATATATATATATATATATATATATATATATATATATATATATATATATATATATATATATATATATATATATATATATATATATATATATATATATATATATATATATATATATATATATATATATATATAATAATCAGAAATTTCAGAGTAATTTCAAACGCCGCGCCAATGGCGATACTGAGTTTCAAGGTCGTCTGAAGGGGGGAGCAGCGCTTATCACCAGTCGTGAGAGAGTAGCGAACTGCACCCATATAATATGACGTATACTCTGGCGACTTTATCTGGAGGCGAATTATGAAATGAAATATCAGTTATTAAATTGAAAGTAATTATGGATCGTTTCCCAGTCTGAAAATGTTGAGTACGTCCTAATTAAGCTGTTAATCATCTGGTAAATAAGTCACTCCTGAAAAGCGTGAACGGGTGAGTAAGCGTGGCTTGGGG